CTGTGTCCTAGCTCTTTACCTTAATCAAACCATTTAGAAGTACAATACTTCCATTTCCACATGCCAAAAGGAGGTAGTAATGCCTATCTCACAAGCTGCAGTAGAGACTAAATAAGGGTTTTTGTTGTTAAGTGCCATTGAGTCAGTTCCAACCCACAGCAACCCTTGTACAGGGATTCCAAGGAGCTATTGGTGAGCTTGAACTGCTGACCTTGCAGTTCAAACCAACTTTGCAGTCCAACGCATTAACCCAAAGAGCCAGATCTTAACAAGGGGTTCAGACTTATAGCAACTCTGCATAGGATTTCTGAGAAGTGGCTGGTGAGTTTGAACTTGTGGTTAGCTATCTCACAGCACTATACCAGGACTCCAAATAAAGGTGTTGTTAAGTGCCTTCAAGTCGATTCTGACTCATAGCGACCCTATAAAGGGTTTTCGAGATGGAGCTGGTAGGTCTGAACTGCTGACTTTGTGGTTCCCAGTCTAATTCTGATACTACAGTGCCACATCACGAGTCACCAAATAAGGGTGGTGGTTGTTGTTGTTAAGTGCCGTCGAGTTGATTCCGATCCATAGTGACCCTGTATAGGGTTTTCTAGGAGCAGCTGGTGAGCTTGACCCACCGACCTTGCAATTCAAATGGCAGTCTGACGCATTAACCCACAGCGCCACACCAGGACTCCACAAATAAGGGTAATAATTGTAAAGTGTCTGACTAGCAGACAATATGCCTTCAATAAATGTTCATTTCCTTCCTTTCTCCCTAAAGGTCCAGCTTTCTGCATACAGTCATTAAACTACATACAAACCACCAGAACCATTCAAAAGGCAAACTATGAAAGAGGGTTTATTGGCTTGTTTTTATTAACCCTGTTGTGGCTAAGTAAACTACACGGTCAACTATTTTTTGTTTTTTCAATCAAATTAGTTCTTACTGAACACTGGATAGTTATCGTAAACAGAATTCTATATAACAAAGCTAAGTGCTAGACAGTACAAAAAACTACCTAATAAAGATCTATCTTTAAAAACTCCTTTAAAATTATATATAATGTAATAGGGCACTAGGGGAAAAAAGAAACAAGAAGATTTACAGACCATTCAGAATACTGCACTGACTTCCATTTCTTTCAGAATGAAAAAACAGCATTTCAAAACCAGTCATTCCTTGGGAACCCTATACAAGGTTGTTATGAGTCGAAACCGACTTGATGGCTCTTAGCAACATTCTTAGCAAAATTCTTACATTGCCTGCCATGCCATCCTCGCGGCTTGCCCATTGGATCACCTACTCCCACCATGCACACTCAGTTGCAGTCACACTGGTGGTCTCACTATTTTCAAACTGTGCTTCTGGTTGGCTTACTCCCTTAATTAGTAAGGTTTACCATCATTCTGCAACCTCACTTCCTGCCTACTCCAGCACTCCTATCTCCCTCCCCAACACTGCTCTATTTTCCCCCCATAGCACTTCTGGCTTTCTAACACAGTAGTTATTAAGTGCTTCTGCCTAGTTGAACATAATCTTTACCAGAGCAACGGTTCTTGATAGTTCCATGATGTAGCTATCCGCCAGTGCCTAGAACAGTGCCTGGCACACAGTAGGTATTCAACAGTGTTGAAAACAATTAAGGTTCTCCTTGTGGATATGCAAAAGAATGTGGAACAAATCCTGAAGCCAACAATCTGTGCAGGCTGACATTCGTTTGGAATTATAAACACTGCTAGTTTTGAAAGTGACATCTAATGTCTCAAAGTCCACATATTTTTTAAAAAGCCATTAAAAAAGTAATTAGTGTCATTGGTGGTGGTGGTGGTGGTGGCAGTGATCTGCCGTGGAATTGCTTTTGACTCACAGCAAACCTTTCATCGGGTTTCTGACCCTATAAATCTTTATGGGAGCAGAAAGCCTCATCTTCCTCCCGCAGAGTCACTGCTGGATTTGAACTGATGACCTTGCGGTTAGCAGCACAAAGCATAACCCACTATGCAACCAAAGCTGCTTAATTAGTGTCATTAATTATCCATTTTACAACTCATTCATTATAACATTTGGTTTTTCCTGTTTATATGAATATTATAATTTAATCTTAAATCTAATTTTCAACCATTTCACCAGATTTAACAAGAGTTAAAAGAGTTACATGTACCACAAATACTGTGGGAAACACTAAACCAAGAAAAAATCATTTCAGTTCTACCACGATCTCACAATCTCAACCTTAAAACCTCTTTGGGCCTCAGTTTCTTGTGCAAAAAAGAAATGAGGGGAGAGTTGAGTTAGGATAATCTGAGGCCATTTCAGCTCTAACAACTCTGAGCAATGAGTCTATAAAAACCAGTCTGCACACTTCTCACACATCTAATGAAAATCATTAAGATTATAAAATTCAAAAATTGGATGGAACTTTAGAAATTATCAAATTCCATCCTGGTATCTTTCCTAAATAAGAAAAACACCTGAAACTTCAAGCATTTAAAAAAAAAATGTTTTCAAAACTTAACATCACCTAGTTTTGGAATTTGTTGTTCTTTTAAATGTGTGTGTGAGTGACAGAGAAGTTAACTGAACATTTCCTTTCTTTCTGCAAAGTATTTCAGAGTCTGTCCTACAATTAACAATAACATGTGCTCTAGAAATGAGCTGTGCCTAACATTAGCTACAAAGTTTCATCAAGCAACAGTTACAAGTAAATAACAAACAACTTCACTATATTAACTATATTGCAATGTTGTTGTTGTTGGTATGTACCGTGGAGTTGACACATAGTTATTAGCTGGGGAATAAAATCTGTTGCCACTGAGTTAATTTCAACTCATGGAGACTCTATGTGTGTCAGAACAGAAATGGCTGATTTTTGGAAGTAAATCACCAGGCCACTCTTCCAAAACACCTTAGCTGCTAACTGTTTGCACTATCCAGAGATCCAGGGCTGGATGGAGAGCAAGTGGCATTAAATTTAAAATTCTTAAGGGCTAACTTCTACTAGGTTGCATGGTAATTTAAATTTTAAATTATCATGAGCAAAGCAAGACAATTCTGGTGCCATGAACTGAGCTCCACCACAGAAAGAACTTTAATTACTGGTATCTTGTCCCCACTGGTATAATGACATTATGTTGTGGCTAAATTCCAAAATTAGCTAATTTAACCTAAAGGACAGGAGGATTATACACTGTCAGCAAAGCTGAACTCACATGAACCCCATGAAGGTTGAATTCCTGAAGAATGGATGGACATTATAAAGGGCCTAGATCTTAAGAGGAAGGAGCCCAGGTAGCATAGTGATTATGAGCTAGGCTGCTAACCACAAGGTCAGTAGTTGGAATCTACTAGTTGCTCCTCAAGAGAAAGATGAGACTTTCTGCTCCTGTAAAGATTTACTTACAGTCTCAAAGTCAGAAACCACTCTGTGGCATACAACCACCACCAGATCTTAGAGGATTCCAATGTTACTATGGTTAACTACTGTTAACAGAACTTTGTTGTTCTCACAGAATCTTTACCAGGCAAGAACATTTCATTACTTCAAGCTCACTACTCATTTTACACAAGATTCTGCAACCTTCTGGAGTAATGTCTGTAACTGTTGATTTAAAGACATTAGAAGCTGTGTATAGATACTGTTGCATCTTTTAACACTGTATCAATTCAAATATTAACTTTGTACTCTACAGCAAAGTTACCTTACCAGTATAGATTGTGCATTTATATGGAGCTCACCATAAAACACAAATTTTGATTATATGGCAAACTAAACCACATATCCATACATGATACCATAATGCTTTCACACTGGAGACTGAGGCCAAAAAAGTGTCATTCAGCAAACACAAGAGCAACTGAAAACAAAAAACACTACAGCATTCCTGTGACACAGACATTCCCCAAATACCCCTTTTTGTTCCCTATGAATAAAAGGACAGTATCATCGTTAATGTCTACTCTATACAGTAACCTGTATGGAATTCTGGAATTCAACTCATGCTCAGACTGTCAAACATCTCTTCTGAAAAACAAAAAGCACATCACAGTCAGGTACATATTACCAAGGTAAACAGATCTTCAAGTTTGTAAAACAACACAGGGTCTTCAAGTTTGTAAAACGATTTCTTTTTTTTTTCAAACAAAAGTGGGGAGGCGAGTAAGTTGACAAACTGTTTTTTAAAAATCACAAATGGCCTTTAACTACTATAATGAAACAATTACTCCTCCCACTCCAAGCAAATATGTACTCAAAAGGTAGTATGTTCTTCCTAATTTTATGAAATGAGAACAGGTTGTAGTTCCTTAATCCCTGCTAGCCCTCCCCACCCCCCATTCCCATTCCCCAGGCTCAGCGGGCTCCCATGTTCTCAGTAGCCAGGGTAAATATAACCCCCACCAACTGGTCAGTGAAACTCATCTTCCAAAAGCCAGGGACGCCTCGAGAGGTGATGGGGAAAGGAAAAGGGCTGATACCCGCCCCAAGCACAACTGACTGTGCGACTTGACCGGTGCTGGAGCCGGGAGCGGAGGAGGTGAGAAGCGCCGGGAAAGTCTTTCCTCCTCCCGGGCTAGGCGGCGGGGGAAGCCCGGCTCGGCACCCGGAACACGGGACCACCGTCCCAGCCAGACACAATGGAGCCGGCGAGGGGCCAGGCAGGGGCAAGGCCGTTGCCCCATCCCCTCCCCCCGCCCCAACGCTTTACTCCCCGCGCCTGGCCCGGCGAGGGACCCCGGGGGGGCCGCTCCCCGCGACCCAAACTCCCTGGGGCTCCTGACTAGGCCCGGCTCCGCTCCGCCTCCTCGGCTCTCGCGTAGCGGCGGCGCCCGGGCGGGAAGGGGCGAAGGAGGAAGGGAGCGGCGGGGAGAAGAGCTCCGCGGGTGAGCGGACGGAGGCCGTGGGCCGAGGCTCGGAGAGAAGGGGTCGCGGCGGGCAGGAGGGCGGCTGGGGCAGGGGTGCGCGGCTGCGCCGGCCTCCAGCCGGCGGGACGGGCGGGCGGCCGCAGTGCCTCACCATGTTGGTGTCCTCCAGGCCTCTCCCCTCCTCCTCCGGCTCCGCAGCGAATGGACGGCGGCGGCGGCGGCGGCTCCTCTCACGGGCTCGCCGGGCTCCCGCTCATGCGCAGTGCGGGGCGGCCCCGGCGCGGCCCGAGGAGGCAGCCCCGGGCCGTGGGAAGGCGGAGGGCCGGGGGCGGGCGCCGGGCGATGGGCGCCCCGCGCGAGGCTTTCCTCCGGCGCGGGGGTCCCCGGAGCGGGGGGCGGGGGGAACGAACCAGGAGGAGGGGCCGGCGACGCACACCTTCCGCGCCAGGCGTTCTTCGCGCGGCAGAGGTCAGGGGAGCCTGGACACCCCACCTCTGCTTCCTACGGGACTCCTTCCTCTGTCCAACAGCCCGGCAGCGTTTACCCTGGCTCCGGAGCGGGCGAGCGCTGGCCAGCAACTTGAGCAGCCCGGGGCGACCAGAGGGATGACTGGGACGCTAGATCAACACAACTACCCCTTCCCATCAGTACCCCCAAATATGGAAATGGTAAAAAAAAAAAAAAAACAAAACCTCTACTGCCATGGCTTCTCCTTTTCCCTCTTATTTCTAGTATCTGGATTACATGAGTTCCCCCACGTGGACATGCCAGTGGAAACGTTGGTCTAGCCATGTTGGAGCCACAATGCTCTTTAGATTAATAATGCTCATAATGTCTGGGTTCCAGACTGAGTATCCACAGGATGGGTGACCTATGGGGTAGATCCTTGACTGGGCTACTTGGGGAGGAGGACTGAAGGCCACATGGAATCAGATGCTGCAGATCAGCCTTTGAATTCTTCTTTGCCAGAATAAGTTTTTGGGAAGTAACTACAGACTATTTTAGCTAGAGTAAATGTCATGATGGGGGACAGCCCAGTCGTGGTCTACTCTTGGTTCTGTCAAGTGAGACAGAAGAGTAACAGAGTTCTGAGCTGAGGATAAAATGGACAAGTATGTGCTATGTTGTTAATTTCCGTGAGTGGTTTCCGACTCCACGACCCTGTATAGGGTTTCCAAGGAGCAACTAGTGAGTTTGAACCACCAACCTTGCAGTTCAAACGGACCTTACGGTCCAGGACAGTAGGAAAGACTCTCATGGTGTTCCTTGTCCTTGGAAAAAGTACTGTCCGACTGTAGAGTAAGGCAAGAAATAAAAAATAAATAAAAAAGCAGACCTGTAATCCAGAAAATCACATGTAAAGCTGAACCAACAGTCCATATGGTTTCAGAACAGAACCAAGCTAAATAGACCTATTAGCATCACCAACGCCCCCCTTCCAACCCAGGCAATGATCTTCTACACCACAACTTTGAAGTTCTTACAAAAGCAACAGAAGTTCTTGAGCAATTCCTGAGGGTCTCCTGATACTTCCTGAAGCCAGTCATGTATTGGGGTTCCCAGAGTCCTAACAAGACAGATTCCTGACCACTAAAGAACATTTGTTCCATTCTTTAGATCCAAAATTGAGTGTGTGCATACACACATGTTGTTGTTGTTGTTAAGTGCCGTCGAGTCGGTTCCGACCCATAGCGACCCTGTACAGGGTTTCCCAGGGGGTAAATCCTTACGGGAGTAGAAAGCCTCATCTTTCTCCCGCGGAGCAGCTGGTAGTTTCGAACCGCTGACCTTAAGGTTCGCAGCCCGATTCATAACCACTACACTACCAGAGCTCCTTGCATACACACATACAAGGGCGAAATCTGGGGGGAAACAGATCTTTAAGGGTAGATTAGTTCTGCCTCATGAGCAAGACTGAAGCTGAACCACATCCATTTGACTTTAAATACTAGCATCTAGGGCTTTAATGGAGTCCTGGTGTGGCAATATGAGCTAATGTGCTGGACTGCAAAGTCAGTTTGAACCTAAAGGTTGGCAGTTCAAGTTCACCAGCTGCTCCTTGGAAACCCTATACAGGGTTGCTATGGGTCAGAACTGATTCGACGGCACTTAACAGCAATGTTGTTGTTGTGTGCCGTGGAGTCTGTTTCGACTCATAGCAACCCTGCACCGGGTTTCCGAGGCTGTAAATCTTTATGGGAGCAGAACGCCTCTTCTTTCTCCCGCGGAACAGCTGGTAGTTTCGAACTGCTGACCTTGCGGCTCACAGCCCGATTCATAACTACAATAACATAACTTTAATGAGGATTCCTGGTATGGCACTGTAGGATAAGTATTGGACTGCTAATTGTAAGGTCTGCGGTTCAAACTCACCAGCCACTCTTCGGAAACCTTACATATACAAGGGTTGCTATAAGTCAGTCCAACTTGACAGCGCTTAACAACAGAGCTTTAATGAAGAGAATTTACTATATGTACTTCTCTCTCTAGTCTACTTCACTGAAGTAATGGGTTTTCTTAAGCTTTTTTCCCTAATGATCAACCCTCCTTGACCTTTTTCCTGCATTTGAACACTTCCTCTTTGAATTTACTCTCTGTCCTTTTCCATCACTTCACTTTTTTCTGTTTCTCCTCCTTCCTTTGAGACCACTCTCTTTTGCTGACTTGACTCTTTGGCTATTAAATATTGGGCTTTCCAGGAGAACCATGTTGAACCTCTTTCTTATACACAGCATTTATCATGCTCTCATTCACATTCCCACAATGTCAAACACTATCTGTATCCTGAGAAGTTCTAAATTTCCATTTCCAGCTCCCCAGTGGCAGACCTAAACACATCTTCTAGGCGTTTCGTGAGCCCTTCAAACTCAACAAATTCAAAATGCTATCCTAAAATTTGCTTCTTCACCAAATCATCCAAATCAGAAATCCATTTCTCCTTCTACCTCATCCCCCTTAATCTAACCTACCAAATCTCATCAATTTTACCTTCCAAATATCTTCTAAATCTGCATTTTACTCTTCACCCCTCAACTAAGACTTTATCATATCTATTGGACTCTTTCTCCACTGCTCCAGAGTTATGTTCTTAAAATCAAAATTTGAATGTGTTCCTTAAAATTCTTCAAGGGCACCATACATAACATGAGCCTCTTTGGTGTGGTATATAAGGCTGTCTTCTCCCTCTAATCGGTCTACTCATCTTGCATTTCCCACCACCCTCCACACAAATGCACCTCATATTTCAGTTTTAACAAGCCAAGCCTGTTGTTCTCCCTCACATCTTGTCTCCATGCTTTCTCTCATTCTGTTGTTCCTAGCATACTAATTAACACTGACTGAGGACTTTCATTGTCAAACACAGTTCAGGCCTATGGTGGTGGTGGATATGTGCTGTGGAGTTAGTTCTGACTCATACCGACCCTTCATAGGGAATGTTGAGGCTGTAAATCTTTACAGAAGCAAAAAACCTCATCTGTCTTACACAAAATGATTGGTAATTTCAAACAGCTAACCTTCAGATTGGCACCCTAACTTGTAACCACTGTGCTACCAGAGCTCCTTGTTCAGGCTTATGGTGTGTACTACCTCTGGTCAGTGATTATACCCATTCTAAAGAGAAAGAAACTGAAGCACAGAAGTTAAAACCATGTTCAGGGGTTCACAGCTAATAAGTGGCAGAGCTGAGTGTGGCTGCAGAACCTATTATCTTAACTACCATGTTGTATTTCCTACCCAAACCTCAGGACTCAACTCAAAGACCATCTTCTCTGTGACAATCTCCTGGTGTCATTCCTGAATTCTAGCAGTTGGGTATATTTTTTCTTCTGTCCTTCTATAACACTTTGAGTACACTTTGATTACTTATGGCATCTTAGAGTTATGATTTGCCTATGTGACAAATCCTCACCACTGGACCAATAAACAACATTCTTATCAATGGAGAAAAGATTGAAGTTGTCAAGGACTTCATTCTTTTTGGATCAACTAGCAACACTCGCGGAAGCAGCAGTCAAGAGATCAGACGACGTATTGCACTGGGCAAATCTGCTGCACAGGAACTTTTTAAAGTATTGAAGAGCAGAGATGTCAGCTTGAGGACTAAGGTGCACCTGACCCAAGACATGGTATTTTTAATAGCCTCATATGGATGCAAAAGCTGGACAGTGAATAAGGAAGATTGTAGAAGAATTGATGCCTTTGAGTTGTAGTGTTGGAGGAGAATACTGAAAGTGCCATGGACTGCCAAAAGAACCAATAGATCTGTTTTGGAAGAAGTGCAGCCAGAGTGCTCCTTGGAGGCCAAGATGGCTAAGCTTCGTCTCTCATACTTTGGACATATTGTCCAGAGAAGGATGTCATGCTGGGTAAGGTGAGTAAGGTGGAGGGTCAGAGAAAAAGGAGAAGACCCCTAACGAGATGGATTGGCCAGGTAGCAACATTGATGGACTCAAGTGTAGCAGCGGTAGTGAGGTTGGCCCAGGATCAGACATTGTTTCATTCTGCAGGGCATGGGGTCGCTATGAGTCAGTTCCGACTCGATGGCACCTGGCAACAACAACATGTGACCATTTCCCCTGCCAGCCTGTATGCTCCTCTAGGCCAGACACCCAGGTGGGCACATCTTTGAGTTTTCAGTGTCAACACGATAGCCTGACATATATGAGCTACATGGCAAAAGTTAGTTAAATAAATACATTAAAAGAAAGAAAGAAGAAATGTAACTGATGGCTGTTAAGCATTCTGTCATAATCACCAACGGTATAGGTGTTGCCTACACAGCACCTATACCATTGGTGATTATGACAAAATGCCTGACTTCCTTGGGAGTTAGTTGTATGTTGTAAGGTCAGATGAAAATGTAGTAGCAACTGTACCCATTACTGTACTTCTAACAACAATACTGAATGTGAAATGGAGAGGTATTACTCAATTGTCATTATTGAGAGAGAGAAACTATTTGTTAAAATCATCCAGATTGTTTTTTAAATGGAAAAGGATCCTGAGATAAAGTATAAATTACAATATTTGATTAACAAAAAAATATCCACTGACTTCTGAAAAGATGTCAGACTGGGCAGGTGCACTATACAAACCCTCTATATCAAAGATGGTGGTTGGTGGCGGTGGTTGTGTGCCACCAAGTCAGTTCTGTATAGTGTTTCTGAGACTGTGTAGGGTTTCTGAGGTTGC